CCTTATTCCCTGCTTTGAGTGTATCACCTGTCAACTGCCATGGCCATCGCCAAGCTTGTCGGTGACGAGGCTGACAAGGCTGACGGCAAAACATCGGCAAACCCCGAACCGAAAAAAAGTTGCCCGCACTTGACATTTTGACGGACACACCGCACCGCACCCAGCACCGTTGAGCATTCCCGCCTGCTCATATTGCTGTCAAGATGGCTTTTGAGGAGAAATTGGCCAAGATAAAGTCGCCTAACCTCCAGAGTCAACAGCATGTATGTTTTGGCCCAATTGTCGTCTTGCCAAATTCACTGACCTATTCGCAGACTGCTGTAGTCCTGTCCTCGATCGAAGAAACCCTCATTGAGCAGAAAACAAAATTCACCCCCACGGCATACTTTGCTGCTCTTCTCGCCCTCTTGAAACAATATAATTCTGCAGGAGGGGACAGCGATGTTGTCACCTCGGCCATTTACCTGCTCGACCTGATCACTTCCCATGTACCTACAAGCCTCCTCCGCTCACAGTTCACCATGATCCTGTCCTTGTTGGCGCCCTACCTAAAAGCCTCTTCAGCGAACGGACCTTTGTTACGGTCAGCCATTGGATGTCTGGAGTCGTTGTTGATTGCCCAAGATGCTGCAGCATGGAATCTTCCGCAGACTCAAGCCAGCCCCCGGCAGACAGTCCCTGTATTGCTCACACTGGCTATTGACACAAGACCTAAAATAAGGAAACGAGCGCAGGAGGCAATAACGAATGTTCTGAAGAATCCTCCACCGGGGCCTGCGATTGATCACCCGGCCGCCGAGCTGTGCGCAGCGGCTGCACAGAATAATCTCAAGAACGCTGTGGACCTGGTTCATCAGGTACGGCGGCAGAAGGGTCGACCTGACGACAGCCATGAGCCCGCCATCATTCATGCTCTTCAACTGACGAAAACTGTTGCGGTGGCATCGGGTGGGTGGCCAAGCAAGAAGATCGAATCACTTTGCGAGTTGTTACTGTCCTTATCTAGGTCGAGGAATGAATACTTGGTCATGAGCGCTTTTGAGGTGTTCGAGGTGATATTCGAGGGAATGCAAGATGAAGTTTCATCTTCAAAATTGCCACGCTTGCTGGAAGCGATCGTGGATTTGAAGCCTGCGCAGAACGACTCTCAGTTGCTTCCCCCCTGGATAGCAATCTTGTCGAGGGCCTATGGCACTGCCGCAGTGGTTGACCCTGAAGACACTTTCGCGAAGTTGCCGGAGCTTTGGGATCTAGTGACACCTTTTCTGACTAGCTCATCTCACAACATCAGAGTCTCGGCGTCGGAATGTCTCATTTCGTTCCTCGCAAACTGTGTTCCGGACAGCGTTATATCTAACCCGTCTATTTATGACGAAAAGCTGCTGGAGCAGCTCTCGAAAAAGGCCCTTGACCTCCTGTCCGTGAAATATCAGACAGCCTGGATGGAGGTCTTCAGCACCCTGAGCGCCATTTTTGATGTGCTCCGGTGGCGGGGTGATCCGGTCTTGCTCCCTATTGTAAAGGCAATCGGTGAGTTACGAAGTCACGAGGGATTCCAAGGCAAGAAGGAAGCGGACGCAGTCCTTGGTCATGCCATTCGCAACGTTGGCCCAGGTGCCGTGTTGAGCGTTCTCCCACACAATCTTATCAATCCACAGCCAGGTCAACCCGGCAGAGCATGGCTTCTCCCGTTACTGAGAGATCACGTATCCAACACGAATATAGCACATTTCCGAAACGATCTAGTCCCTCTCAGCGAGGTGATGTTTCAGCGGATCATCAATCATGGCAACGTTGAAAAGACAATGGACATTAAGGTCTTCGAGACTGTGGTCCAGCAAGTCTGGGCGACCTTGCCAGGCTATTGCGATCTCCCCCTCGACTTGCAAACGGCCTTTGACCAGCCCTTTGCTGAGATGATCTCAAATCTTCTTTACAAGCAGGCTGATCTGAGAGTTGATCTGTGTCGAGGCTTGCAGAATCTAGTGGAGTCGAACCAGGCACTCCTAGCATCGGATCTTCCGGATGAGGTCCTGTTGCTGGAACGGCGAATACAAAGGTCAGATGCAGAGAAGAATATTCAGCACTTGGCCCATTTTGCGGGCAACTTTTTGGCGGTTCTGTTCAATGTCTACAGTCAAACATTGCCCCAGTCTCGTGCATACATTTTACAATGTATCAACAGCTACCTCAGCATCACACCCGAGAAGGATTTGGTGGACACTTTTGAGCGAGTGTCAAAGATGCTCCAAGATACACTTCCTCAACCCAATCGGCCACCTCCGAAAAAGGAACAAAACCAACCTTCTAGCAGCAAACTCCCCCCAACCTCTCACACCCTACTCGATCTTGTCATTGCGCTCTCGGTCCACTTACCAAGATCGACCTTTTCCTCCCTCTTCTCCATCTCTTCCAATATCCTGACCAACCCAGCCATCCTGAAATCCGATCCGCAACTCATCAAGAAAGCATACAAGCTCATTCCCAGATTATCAACTTCCCCTGTTGGAGCAGAGGCGCTCGCTGCCCGCAACGGGGAACTGCAAGAATTGATTCTTCGGACTTCAGAAATAACTCCCGTCCCTGCCCGACGAGATCGCATTCTTGCGATTGATACACTCGTCTCTTTCCTCCCTCTTACTGACCTCCATTTCATTCCCAGCATGCTCAGTGAAGTTGTGTTGGCTTGTAAAGATAGCAATGAGAAAGCTCGCACTGCGGGATTTGATCTGCTCATCGCGCTCACGGATAAAATCTCAAGCCCGTCCAATCCTCCCGGTACCACGATTCGAAATCGCCTCGTCCCACACATGCCGAATGATTCTCCGGATGCGCCGGCGACTTTGGAAGAGGTTTTCACCATGGTGAGTGCCGGGTTAGCTGGTGTGGCTCCGCACATGGTCGCGGCCAGTATCATCGCACTCAGCCGGTTATTCTTCGAGTTTCACTCACGGTTAAGCGATAAGACGAAAGAGGAGCTTGTGGATACCGTCTCGATGTTTTTGCAGTCGAACAATCGCGAGATCGTCCGTGCGGCGCTTGGATTTGTCAAGGTTATGGTCGTGGTATTGCCCACAGAAATGCTGGAACCCAGAATGCCAAATATTGTTCCCGGATTAATGGTTTGGAGTAAAGAGAACAAAGGGCGATTGAGAGCCAAGGTCAAGGGAATATTAGATCGGTGTCTGAGAAGGTTTGACTCAGCCAAGGTTGAAAGTTGGGTTGGTGGCGAGGATAGGAAGATGGTGGTAAATATCCGCAAGCGGAGAGCGCGAGGGAAGCGGAAGAAGAAAGACGATGAAGAGGTCGATGAAGATGAGGGGGCTACGACGAAGAAATATGACAATGAGTTCGATGAGGCTGTCTATGGCTCTGACGACGATGATTCGGAAATTGAAGGCAGCGATGATGAAGATGATGACAATGATCCCATGTCAGGAATTTCCTTCAAGAAATATTCAGCGGCTGGCAGGAAGAGAGGGAATGAGCAGTATATCCGTGAAGATGAAGAGGGCGAGGAGCCACTTGATCTTCTCGATCCGCGAAGCATGGCGAGCATTGCTACCAAAAAACTGGGACGACTGAGGGATGTGCGTCCCGGGACGAAGAAAACGAAAGCAAAGGTAAATGAAGATGGCAAACTTGTCTTCAGCGGCGACCAAGATGATGCAGGTGATGACGCCGATGTTGTCATGTCTGGCTCTGGAAATCAGGACAATTCGGTCAATGCGTATCTCGACGCGGTGTCTGGCGCTGATGCTGTAAGAAGGGGCCAGAAAGGCAGGCTGAAAGTCAAATCCGGGATGCAGAAGAGGACGAAGCAGGAGACTCGCGACCGAGGCGATGACGAGATGGAGTTGGACGTGGAAGAGGCAAGACAGGTTGCAAGACGGATCATGCAGGGTTCTGGATCTCCAAAATCCCCCAGTAGCAAGGGAAGGGATTCCAAGCAGCAAAGACGAGGTCTAGGTGTCGAGAAGAGGCGAGACAGGTCTCAGAAGCAGCGATATCGAAGTGGAAATGGCGCGGGAAAACGAGGTGGTGGAGGAGTGCGATTTGGAGGAAGGACCGGCGGCAGAAGATGAGTGGATTGCGGGGCTCTCATCTTGCGTGTTTGGCGTTATACATGATTTAGACTTGAAAATTGTTCTACGATCGACATGAAGAAAACAGTGAGGTATGGCATGGCATCTTGTATGAAAGAAGCATGCTTTCCCTTATACTTGGACTAACCCTGCTATTGCAACCGCTCTCCCGCGCCGGTCTCGCTTCGTTCCTTTCCATGGCTTTGGGGGCCTCGAAATGGTGGCCTCTCACCTAGTCCATCTCCAGCTTGAGTCAGCTAATGCACATTTACCCAGTACATGACGATAAGAACAGTGATGTCTCATGCCGCTTCGCTCCTAGACCCAGCCTTGATACTCGTATTGCGGAAGCCACCTAGGTAAGGTCCAAGCTAATCGATATGCAACGCCACTAGCTTCTCCAGGAATTCCTAAGACGAACTGCGTCAACTTCAAGAAAGCTATACCGAAACTGGTCTCAATAAAACGTCGGTGATGCATACCGATGCAGCAGGTTCATGGGTTCTGTGCTTGTGCAATGGGCCTTGGAGTTCGTATGTCTTATATGACTCCACGGGTGGATAAGGGTCGGGTATCTAGAAATTATGGGTTATGGTTATTATGGTTATTAATACGGAGTACAGAGGACTCTCCAGGTGGTTAGCCCTTTCCGGTCATACCACCTACTCGTAAGACCGGGGCTCTAAGTACCAGGGGCCGGTATGATTGGTTGGGACCTTGGATAGTTCGTTGTAAGCCGACCTTTGCATACCCCACGGAGCCACAGTCGCAGAATGTTGATGTCTTTGACTCTAACTACGCGATATAGGAGTAGGTTTATTATCAATCAACAAGGTCATCTACGTGAGCGGTCGCTTGAGAGGCTGACAAAAACGATTCAAGCGGCAGTTCGAGCAGGCTCCTACCTGTCTTCCGATGCCCGCGACATTATTGATGCGGTGGCCTGCTACGCCGAAAAAGGTGACAATAGCACAAAGGGGTCCGTAACTGAGATTTAAAGCACCAAGATCCGTCCGTTGTCAGAGCTCCTGTCTCGACTCCCAAGTTAAATCACCACCAAAACGACCCGTTATATCCTCACAGGTACCAGTGGCCGTCTCGGGTCTCGAGTACTACGACAGATTCTGGAGGAGAAGTTGATGCCGGCAACGGATCTCATCATCTCGTCTTCCAATCCTGATCGCGCCCCGGCCATCGCCAAAGCGTACGGCATTGAGGGCCATCGAGGCGACTACACTGACACAGCGTCGCTAAAGTCTTCCTTTGCTGGCGGCGACGTGTTGTTTCTTGTTTCTCACACTGATCCCGGCATTCAGCGGGTCGAGTTCCACAAGAACGCGATCGAAACGGCTCGAGCTGCGGGTGTCAGAACAATCATCTACACGAGCATGATGTTCGGTGGTGAGACGGGCTTGAAGAGCGTCATCGGCACCCAGCAGGGTCACATTCACACAGCCAACTACTTGGCGAAATGCGGTATGGACTACGTGATTGTCCGAGAAGGTCTGTACGCACAGGCCTGGGGATACTATACCGGGTTTCAACAGGGGGTGTTCAAAAAGGGAGACACGCAGCCTCTGGAATGGGTCGTCCCCAATGAAGCGGCTATTTCGTGGGTCGACATCGATGATCTAGCTGAGGGCAACGCCGTTATTCTGGCCAACTACGGAAAATACATCGGCCAGACGCTGCGATTTGACGGGGTCCCGAGCAACGTCGGCGAGCGAGATCGCCAAGCTCGTGGAACAGAGGACCGGCCGCAGGGTGGATCTTCGGTTCGTGTGGAGGCAGCAAGCCGTCAAGTATCACAAGGAGCATGAGAACGTCCCCAGGGAGTCTTTTGGCTGGCTGGAGGGCAATTGGGGCGGCTAGTGGGAGGGGCTCGCAGATGGTGAGGGCGGAGTGGTCGATCCGTTGCTTGGGCAGCTGCTTGCGCGGCCGGCCAGGGGCATCGTGGAAATGGCGGACAAGATGTTTACGCCCCAGTAGTGGCCAGCAGCCAGTATCCGGCTCACAGCAAGCAAAGCAGAACGGAACTGTTAAGAAGTGGGACAAGGATGAGAGAGATTTCTTAGGGGGAAGGAATATTTCGTACAAGGCTGACCCCCTTTTCTCCCTGTCGACTAGCATACCTGCCTAGGTACCTAGTAAGGATATCGAGTACTTATATGCGGAGTCACTGGCCAAACCCGAGCCTTTCGAGCATATCGTTGTGTCACATCCCCGATCATCAGCTCGGCGTTTGACGGGCCAAAAGGATAAAAGAAAAAGCCTGCATATCCGTACGGAGTATACAGCAGACTAGGACCAATCAACTCTGCGGCCTGGAGTATTCACTCACAGGGTTTCTCCATGCTGAGCAATGATCGGCTGCCCTTGAAAAGCCCACATGTATAGCGAGCTGGTTAGAATGGTTCCCTATGCTGAAGTCTGCCATCAGTCCCGGTACGGAGTACTTTGGTTGGGTCAATGGAGTATCATGAATATTATACAAGGGGAACAGAACCAGATCCATTTCTCATCAAAGAGCAAAGCCACCGCCACAAATAGCTCCTCGTATGTCTTAGCCACCAACGCCAACAGCGGAGTAGGTTATGCTACGTCCCAGGTCCTCGCAACCACACCTGACTACGACTTTCATGTCATCACGTCCGACCGCTCTCTGGACAAAGTTGAAGCCTCCAGAACTGAACTCGTCACATCATGCTCGGTCACTGTTTCAGATATATCATCCCGCCTCTCGACACTGAAGCTCGATGTCACCGACCCATCATCAATCCGCGCCGCCAATGCCGTCTTCAGAAGATGAGGCTACCTCGACGTGTTGATCAACGCTGCCATAGGCGCCACCTCTCTCGATGACGACACATACACTCGCTTCACAATGTGCATGCAGACACGGGCCCCGCTGTCAGGGCCGATGTCTTCCGTCCACTGCTTTGACCAGATGAGGCTGGATAATGTACGGCGCTCCCTGATCCAAAAAGCTATATTGAGTTGCAACGGACTAAAGAGTGTGCTACGAGTAAGGGCAGAAAAAAAAATGCAGTCGCTGAGGCCCTCGAATGACATCTCGAAGGCCGGTGAGCTCTAGTGCCATTGTCATGCGCGGAATCATCAGCCTTCTGAGCAGGTCGTTTTTTCTCTAGCTGACATTGATACGTACAAACAGCAACATCATTCATCGATTAGCGATCGTGCTCTCGATTCGCCAAACAAAGCTGCTAGTTGTCCACTCTGCCTCCTCCTTCAGCCTGACCAGAGACATCTGTCTGGGAATCTCTCCCAACTTCGCCTTTTCGTGATGCAGTTCAAACAGCGGCAGCAGGACTTGAAAAAGATCTTCCTTGCCAGACCTTTGCCGAATTCCAAGTTCTGTCAAAACTTGGAGGAGGAACGCACGTCCCTGTTCCTCAAATGGCTTCTTGTTGAACAGAGAATGGGAGTGGATCTATCTGCTTGATTGCGTTCTATCCCCTTAGCTATTCAGAGAGACTCTGCCTATTTATATGCACTTTGGCTTGTAATCCGAAGGCCATTCCTGAAACCTCCTGTTCTGTTGCCACGCCGTCGCAGGTCGGTGAGAATAACGTTGTTGAAGTAAGTGCCGTAGTAAGTGTGACAGCTAGCGTCTCAGGTGGTTTGCCATAGTGGCTATCTTGCAACCCTGTCAACACTTCTTCTGGGCTTCTGTTTGCTGATTCTGGGTCTAAGTCTAAGTCTAGATCTGAATCTTCACATGGCGAGGGTTCGATAACAGCTTTTAAGAGAATTTCTCAGATCGCTGCGGTGGGATTTGGGCCTGTAGCACCTGTGAAGCTCTGAGGAGAGAGAGCGCAACCATCCACACGAAGCTTCAAAATGCTTTTCACAAGGGACGTAATCGTTGCTGGATCATGACACAAGGGATTAAGGCTGTGGGCAAGGAATACCAGCTTCTTCAAATATAAGGATTGGAGTGAAAATTTGAGGATTATGCCTCCATTGTTGATGGCTCCGCAGTTGCACCAGGTTCAGTGTTTCTCACGCAGGGGAGTGTTCAGTGGCCAGATCTTTGTGGAAGGCTCGACGATTATCCCAAGGGAGCTTGCTTGGGTACCTAAAAGGCTCAATATTGGGGTGGACGATGTGCCAGACTCTTGCCTGCAGTTTGCACACAAGGCCTTGACTTAGTGTGTGCAGAAACATAGGCGGTGCGGTGGCAGCTCAGGCTCGAAGTACATCCCCAGGCGTCTGGTCGACGTGGGCACTGACAGCGGTATTGTCAAAACCATTGACAACGCACGCTTAAGTGTTGACAAAGGAGCCAAGTTTACAGCGTTGACGTACCGCTGGGGTCAACAATCGGACACCAAAGACAGAATATTGCCAATGACACCACAAAACCTGAAAGACATGGCTGAAGGAATTCCAGTCGACGACAAGCTACCTCGCGTGTTCAAGGATGCCATAAAGGTTACTCGATCTCTCTAGATAAAATACCAGTGGATCGATGAGCTTTGTATTGCTCAAGGAGACATGGAAGAGTGGAAGACCGAATCACTCTCGATGCGAGAGATCTATGCTGGAGCTCATGTCACTATTTCCGCAGATGCGGCGTCAGCCTGTGACGAGTCGTCTCTTAGGATGCCCGACAGGGAATGGAGGCGAAGTATCTATATTTCTGGGGCAGGGCAAGATTTGAGATCGAAGATCTTTGCACGATTGGGCCACAATAGAAATGGCCGGCCGGTCCAGGAAGAATGCGTCAGGTGCTCTGGAGGATGGGAATACAAGATACATTCTCGGGGCTGGACGCTGCAAGAAGCTCTACTCAGCCAAAGACTAATCTCTTTCTGTTTCGAACAGATTTATTTCGGTTATGAGGTGGGAGGAATCTCGAGGGAAGATGGGGAGGATCTGGATAGGTCACGTTGTGTCGATGGCCCGTCATTCGAGTTAAACCATTTGCGCCAGAGTTGGTTACAGTTGTCATCCCGACTGGTGGAGCGAGACTCGTACGGGGACAATCCGACATTTAAACAGATAGATGCCGATTACGAGCTTTCAGTCCTGTGGTGGGAGCTTTTAAATGAATACGCCCATCGAACGCTCTCTGAACCCGACGACAGGCTGCCGGCTATTTCTAGGCTTGCTTCCCATTTCAAACTAATTTCGTGAGGGAGTTGTGCTGGTATCAAGATGGGGCTGACATTCGGACTCTGCCTACTAAATCTCCTTCTTGGTCATGGGTGTCTTGTCCCGGCAAGGTGACACTCGCATGGAGAATGAAAGATCAACCCTTAGCCGAATTACTGGCCCTCAATCGCTGGTCTGAAAAGGAAGAGTTCGGTCACATTGACGCTCTAGATTGTGAGTTCGGTCATGTTGACTCTGCCGAGGCCACGATAGAAGGTTCAATGCTCGACATCAGACTCTGGAAAGATCTATATGGGAGAATGCAACTAGACCCGCTAACATTTTCGAGCATGCCAGTTTTATTCTCCCGCCCTATATTTCACATGGACATGGACAAGTGGGTTGAATCAGGCGGGTCATCACAGCCATCTAGCCCTCTGCCCATACCGGGAGAGTCCTTAGGTATATGGTATCGTTACGGTGCGGTGGCGCGCTTGCCTCTGTTATATCGAAAGTTTGAGAGTTGTATAACTCTCCTTATTGTGGCCAAGACTACCACGATATTGGACAGATACGTGAATCCTCCAGGCTTTCATCCCCCACTCGTATCCTTACGACGGAGTCGAAGAGGCAGTGGGACATTGGGTGGCGAGGTTTGAGCGGAGATGCATTATAATAATTTGATATGTTGGCTCTACCCTTGAAGTTCTTCTGCCGGGACGCGATACTTACAGTACTAGGCGATCGACGAGGCTCTTGGCTTCAAATTCAATAGCCGGATTTATCTCCTGGGGCTTGCTTCCAATTTGATGATGAAGTCGGCCGACATTGCTCTCTCGAAGCTAGACATCTTGTCAAACCCCTGACAACACATCCCATTAGCCACATTCTCAATGATCTGCTTCCTTTCCCGACAACTAATCCGGCTCGAGCTACGGGAAGCTCACGCCGATGGCACACCCATACACCATGCTCCATCTTCCCTCATTCTCAATTCCATTCTATATACTCGCCTCTCCGCCTACCCTTCAAGGCTCATAGACATCCGCTTTCTTCATGTCCAGTCGTTCCACACGGGCCGCGACCCGGTCTCGGTCTGCGCTCTCCAAAATCTCCTCTTCCACATACAGTGCCGAGCCATCGAGTCTGAACTTTGTCCAGCCTGTTATCTAAGCGCACAAAGTGTGGTTTAACCGATCCAGCTACTATTGCAGGCTTATTATCGAAAGAGATTCCCAGCCGGCGCAATAATCACACATCTTGGGCCAGACAGGACTCCCCGAGCCCCATCAATATGATGTTTAGTTGTAGTCCATGACCTTCTCGGCAATGCACTGGCGAGAGGTGCTGAGAGAAGCCATGTCGGGCAGTGTTTGATAAAAAGCGAAGGAGAGTTGTCCATATTCGAAGGGGAGGTGGAGTTAAGGCGAGTGGAGCCGTAAAGCGGCGATCGATGGTTGCGTTAACCGCCAAGACGTCTGTGAGCCAGAGAACTTTGGACTTGCGCAGCCCATTGTATTTTGCTTGACACCATCTCAAAGCTCCCTCTACACATGCTCAACACGGCTGTCTGGGCCTGCACATCCACTTCATCTAAGGGAGGCTGAGCATCTCGCTCAGCTCAGACAACATGTGCCGCATTTGTGGGCGCATGGTAAAATGCATCTTTGATTCAATGCCCTCGAGGGTGCCATCGTCACTACTAAACCCGTGAGCATCTCTTCTTCGACCACGAGAGAACCGGCTACTGACTGCGCAGTGGCAGATCTCTACGCCAAACTCGTCAGACAAGATCTCACCATGTATCATCGCGCACTCTCGTGCAAAGCGCCTTGAATATACCCTCGAAACCGGTGGCACCACCACCGACATTTCTCCTCCCGTTTCGCGCAAAGCTTCACCAGACAAGGACGCAGCAGTCCACCACGACGCCAATATCTCAGTTCCAGAGCACCCAGCCCGAGATTCCTCCCACATACCTCTCAACCCCGACTGACCAAACGCCTTGCTCCGCTGCCGCGACAGTATCTCCTTCGACCACGCCAGCGCTCGACCGTCCACTGGTGCTCTCCCGCTCCCTGCAAACCCTCCTCCCCAAGCTACACCTCCAAAAACCCCACTATGTGGTCGCACACATTCACCGCTTCCCCTACCTCCTCACGGAGGGCGACATCCTCCGCCTGCCCTTCCACATGAAGAACGTTTCCCCCGGCGACGTTCTGCGCTTTAACCGGGCCAGCATCCTAGGTTCACGAGATTATACGCTCAAGGCCGGCGCCGCGTCCACCGAATCGTACGACAAGCGCCGCACGGGAGAACCAAACTATCTAGACGAGAGATTGTTCGAGTGCAGGGTCCGAGTCATGGGAATCGAGACCGAGCCCATGACATTCAAGGAGAAGAAGAAGAGGCGGAATCGACACAGGAAGATTGTGCGGAGTAAGCACAAGTACACCTTGTGCCGCGTTATGCAGGTCCGTGCCAAGGGTTTGGATGAATTAATCCAAGGAGAGAAGGGGATGGTGTTACTGGAAGGCCAGGAGAAGGCCGACGCCAACGCCGACGCCGACGCCGACATCGCCAGTGCTTGATTAGTCCCTGGATGACAGGACATCTTTGTAGGATATTTCGTGTGCGGAAGAGACCGTGTAGATGCCTAGTACGCCAATTTGGACAAATCCAAGACAACCACTGTGTCAATGAACCCGAGGCCAAGACAAGATGGAAGGAAGCGTGAACTTGTGTTCTGTTTTACCAAACTAAAGCTGTTATCCTGACACCGGTGCATGAGTATTAATACAGCGAACCCCCTCGAACGCCATGCGCCAAAAACATCACCGAGGATACGGAGGACAGAGACCAAGTAGAAGCCGTTCTCCTTCTGCAGCCTTCGGGCATCGCACCTTCATAAATCGGGTCGTCGTTATCATCACAGGCATCTGACCGTCCTCAACCCCCACCTCATCTCACGAACGAACGTGCACCAGGCTGTGTAGATGTGTCTCGGTTTTAGGAAAAGTGCCGCGGTCTCCATATTTCCCAACGCAATGAAGACTATTGCGGGTGAATGCGGGAGATGTTGAGTAAGGAAGCGCTGTCACGCTTGAAATGTCGTTCGTCTCATTTTTATCTCACCTCGAAAGCAGGAAAGGTCATGCGGTCGCGGAGGTTGACTTTGAATTCGAAGATTCCTTCTTCGGAGCCAGCGTACCTTTATCGCAATGTGTCAGCAGAAGCATTGCCTTTTTCCCAAAAAAAAGAAAGAAAAAAGACAAGACAAGAGGAAAAGAGAAAAGAAGAAAACCTGGTCTCTCGAGTCGGTGGTAACACTTACAGGAACTGCCCATCCGGACTAAACCCGATTCCCGTGGTGCCTAGCTCAATCTCACTTGCTACTGACGCAGCGCCCGTCGACCTCCCACCCGCACCAAGAACTCGTTGCGAACCCGAACCAGCCGCGGGAGGCATCCAATTGCCATTCGCATCGAGCGATCTGTTCCCGGAGATGCCACTCAAAAACATAATACGAGCCAGACGCATATCCGCATCAGGAATGCGACCGGCGACTCCAGATCTGACAATATCGATACGTCCTGCATCACTACCGCCACCCCGCTGGGCTCGCGGGCCTGTAGTCACCGTCATGGGGCCTCTGCGCATGCTGGTCGTGGCTATTGGAGGGCGGCTGGCGGGTTCGACTTCTCTCGGCGATGTGCGAGTGTTAGCAGTGTGGTTTGTGGTAGTCACTTCGTTGGCATTCGCTGTAGTCCGACTTCTGAGCGATGCTAATCGAGCTTCTGCCACGTCCAGCCTGCTTTGCATGGCGTTTGCCAGAGCTTCGGTGTCAATGGCGGCTTGAGCTACCCTTGACTCTGCTCTGCGTATCTGTTGTTCCAATTGTTCGATGTGGGCCAGTCTGTCAACGCTGATTTCGGAATACTCGTTGAGGACATTGGAAGCATTGTCTGACTCATTGGACGATCTGATGTTTATGGTGGGCAGCGTCGTAGTCTGAGCCGAGCTTGAATCTGAAGGGTCGAAAGTGCTGGTATTTGGCGTTTGATCACTTCCAGATCCACCTAGCAAGATCCTGTCCCGCTCAGTTTCCAGTCTCCTCGAATATTCCGTTCCGAATCTCAATTCAACCTGCAACTGATGCGACCGCTGTTGTAAGAACTGTTGCTCATGCGTCAACTGTCGCTGCAGGACCCGTTCCAGCGTAGCTTCGATATCTCTATTTGACTCTCTTGCTGCTGCCCGAATATGGTCAAGCCGATTGGAGGTCGCGGCGAGCAGCCGCTGTTGGGTATCAAGCTCCCTGTGAAGCGAGAGTGATAATTGTCTTTCATCGGCCAGTTGGCGCTCAAGGTGCCTACCGAGTTCCCGTTCCTCTTCCAAGGCATTTTCCACCTGAGCAAGAAGCGCTCGATTGCGATTGCGGTAGTCTGATGCTCGAGCCGCTGATGCTCGAGCCGACTCAACTGCTGTCTGAATGACATGCCAGGGGTCGTGGGGCGGAATATTAGAGGTTCCTGGTCGTGGGTTAGAGCCCGAAGCTGGGGGTAAAGTACTTGTCGACATGGTTGGTATGTCCTCGTCGTCTCCAATGCGGCCTGGAGACGCAGATACAAGCATGCGTGGGTCCACCACCATGATATCGGGGGATTGGCTTCTGTTGGTGGTGGGCTGGGAAAAAACTACAGATGATCTCCTCCTTGGTTGATGTGAGCGAGAACTGATAGAGCGATCAGTTCCTGGGGGTTGCGAGGTGTCCTCATTTGATATCCTTCCAGCAATCCAGCCCGGGGAAGAAGTAATGTAGTTGATACTGTATGGGCGAGTCGGGGGGTGTTCGACATTCATTGTGCTGTCAAGCGCCTCGACAATTGATCTTTCTCGCGCATCCAGATCCAGGCCCTCATAATTGACCAGATCGCGGCGATTATGCCGTTGTCCAGAGTCGCTCAAAAGATCATCAGTGCTTAGCTCGTTGTCTAGCTCTCTGGACGACAAGCCACGTATAGCTCTTAATCGTGCGCGACGTTGCTGCACCAACCGTTCCTTATGACCTATGTTGCGAAACGCAACAGGGGTTCCATCTTCGAGCTTGACTTCTTCTGTTTTCTGACGGTCGAGGTCCAGAATCTGCCGTCGGACACAGGACCGTCTCACATCCGCAATACCTATTCTCCCGTGGTCTTCAGCCCACACTAACAGATCCCAGGGTGCAGGAGAAAAAGACATGGACCTGACGCATCCATATAAAGCTTGCCGCGATGATCTAAAGGTGCATATTATGGATGATTCTCCAGGCTCATTGCTGCTCAGAAGATGTTGCATGTCGAATATCGAGATGGATCCACCTTGGGAAGAAGCTGCGCAAAGATACCCGGAGGGCGAAAAAGTCACTGCAAAGCTGTGGTCGTCGTAAACGGGGTCGCCAGTCGGCACGACGGGGTTGGCGATCATCTGCCAGTGATATTTGGCATACGTCCCGGAAGAGCCATCGATGATGTCGCGGTCTTCGTCGAGGTGTCGTCGGTAGAAGTACACATGGTCTGAGTCCCCAACTGCCGCGAGGATCTTGGAGTCTGGCGACATGGATGCAAAGTTCATTGGAACAGGATGCGGTAGAGTTGTCAGCACCTGCCTTTGGGCGAGGGAGTAGATCTTAACGGTCTTGTCGTTGTTACTGATTAGGACCACCGGTTCGTCAGGAGTTTTGCCCTCATTCAAGACAGTGTGGATGCTCATTGAATTGACTATTTCTCCTCCCAACAAGTCAACGTTCATGTCGTGACCAAAGCATGTCGGCCGATCATGTTCGTCCTTCTCGACTTTGATGAAGGCGCAGTCTCCATTTTGTTCTCCTCCTACACAAACCCAGCCCAGGTCAGCAGCCAGACAGCGGGAATCGAAGGGAATCGTTGCAACCAAAGAGTTCTGTTGGGTTGCGAGATCGAGAACGAAGATGTCCTTGCATGATACATAGTAAATGAGGTCCTTCTCTGATGAACTGATGAAATGACGCAGTTGGTGGTGAGCGACCGTGATCTTTGCGGGATAGAACTTAGAATGCGTAGCAAGGGACTTTGCAGGATTGAGCCATAGTTCGCTATTCGGTACGGTCATTTCGCGACGGAAGTTGAGGGATCTACAGGATGAGACGCATCGCTCGGCAAGGTAGGAGGTGGATGGCAAGATCGAGGCGGAGAGGGTGGTAAGCGTGCAGGGTCAAGAAGCCTTGAAAGGAGAGATTCTTGGATCAGCGACCCCCAACAGCTATAGAGCAGGGAGCCTGTATAAATTGGTTGTTTGTAAGAATGGATCTGTCTCAACTTGAGGGTGATAATCGCATCACAGTGGAATGAGAGGCGTGCTTCTCAGATTTGCCAGCCCGTGACGTCGATTGGGCGAGGCTCTCACGGCGAGGCTCGCTGGAATTTATTTTAAAGCGGTAGGTCTGCCGAGACCAACTTGAGCCGGTCTTGGCTGGTCTTGGCTGGTTTGCTCCATAATTTCTACTGGGTACTCGGCAGGTTCTGAGAGTTTCTGTTGTGCCAAGCCTCGCGCGAGCTTGCGGCGAAGGGGAAGAGAGATTTTTTCTCGGTCCATTTGTATTGCGTCTGCTTTGCATCCTGAGCTCATCTATCCATCCATCCTATCACCAATTCCCTTCACCTTCAACTTCACCACGGTTTCTAGGCCTCTGCCCATCTCCTACCTCCTTCACTGCTTCCCTGTTTGTTCTTTTATTTGAGATCATCATGATTGCCTCACGGTTGTCTAGAGCGGTAAGTCCCAATGCTGTTTCCTCCGTCGTGGAACCGTCTCCTAATAGAGCCACCAGCTTCCTCGCTCAAGCCCCTTCTCTCGCCTCTCCCAGATTCGAGCACCTCGACCATCAATAATCTCGCGGTATGCCTCCACCGATACCCCCGAGTCGACTGAAAAGGTCAAGGGCCAAGTCATTGGTATTGACTTGGGAACGACAAACTCGGCCGTCGCTGTCATGGAAGGCAAACAACCTAGAATAATAGAAAACGCTGAGGGTACTCGAACAACACCCTCCGTTGTGGCCTTCACCGAAGGTGGCGAGCGTCTCGTTGGCGTTGCAGCCAAGCGACAAGCTGTGGTCAACCCTGAAAACACGCTCTTCGCGACCAAACGGCTCATCGGCCGGAAATTCTCAGACCCAGAAGTCCAGCGAGACATCAAAGAAGTCCCCTACAAGATCGTTCAACATACAAATGGTGATGCGTGGCTGGAAGCTCGCGGTGAAAAATATTCGCCGTCGCAGATCGGAGGTATGGTTTTGGCAAAGATGAAGGAGACTGCCGAAGCATACCTTGGCAAGCCTATCAAGAATGCCGTCGTCACAGTCCCTGCCTACTTCAATGACATGCAGCGACAAGCCACGAAAGACGCTGGTCAAATCGCAGGATTGAACGTTCTCCGTGTTGTCAATGAGCCTACTGCAGCTGCGCTAGCATACGGTCTCGAGAAGGAAGACGATCGCATCATCGCGGTCTACGATCTGGGTGGTGGCACATTTGATATCTCCATTCTCGAAATCCAAAAAGGTGTCTTT